CACCATCAAAATATGCTGAAAAAGATAAACTGATAGCAGAATTCCTTAACTTACTGAAAAGAGGAATCTATTCTAAACAATACTGTGTCAAATTAAAAATAAGTGAAAATGTGAAAGTTATTTTTCTCTTGGTTGTATGGATGTTAATAAGTTATGTTATTGTGTATTACGCAACAGAAACAATGGCCATTTGAAAAAAATTAATTTATAGTTTAGAAAAAAATTAACTAGATTCTTTAAAAACATAGATGTGATGAGTTTAAAAGCCTAACAATTATTTATTTTAGCATTTCAGACCGGAAAGGAAAAAGTCACTGAAGCATCTTACGGGTTTATCACATTGCATTAGCTAGAGAGGCATAGTTGCTGTGAGACTAATGAAAGGTGACATCGTTGAAAACCTGCAGCATGAAAAGTCAGTAAAAGAAACTATGGCATTGCCACATTCCAATGATACATTAATTTGTTGAATAAAAGATTTAACTGTGCTAGCCCTGTGTGGCTCAGTGGATTAAGCGCCATCCCATGGACTGAGAGGTTCCACTCAATTCCTGGTCAAAGCACGTGCCCGGATTGCGGCCCTATTCCCCAGTAGGGGGCGTGCAGGAGGCAGCCGATGTATGTTTCTCTCTCACACAGGTGTTTCTATCTCTCCCTTCCGCCTTCTCTAAAAAGAAAAAAAAAAAAAAATCAATAAAAACATATTAAAAGAAAAAAAAAAAGACTGAACTGTAAACACGAATACTAAATTAATATATCATTTGTGAAATTGTACTTCTGCCTAACAAAGGCGCAAATCCACATAGTTAGGCTCTGTGTTTTAGTTGTATTTGTCCAGTATCAATATCAACTAATCATCAAAGATGTGAATACATGGCAAGAAATAAAACTGGCAATGAAAAACTCAGTGTTAAATAACCTCTTTTGAATATCATGGTTTATCCTGGAAAAACCATAGTGACTTAGCCTGATCAACAAAGTGCACCAAACTGTACTGGTTGACACTGAATTCTTCAAGGCCGCGTACAGTTCACAAAAAATAAAAAGCTGATTTCACTTAGGAATGTCCTCAATGAAGTATTAACAAGTATTAGTTTTATTAGCTCCTGACCTTTTAGTAACACATCTTTTTAGTATTCTGTGTGACAAACTGAAATATGCAGAAAGTACTTCCACTGCAACCAAAGCACAGTGCTAGTCCTAAGGAAACTCACTTGTTTGATGGTCTAAGATAGGTGTGAAACCATTTTTACTTCAAAGAACAATGAACAGATATTTGGGGTTTTGCAAGATATTTGTTTGAATATGAATGAAGTCAGCTTATCAATTCTGAGAAATCTGAAAGTTTTTGTTGCCAAGGACAAAATTTGAGCTTCTACACATGATCTCACTTATATATGGAATATAATATAACAGTCTGAGGAATAGGGTAGACCCAGAAACACGGAAGTAGTGTACAGACTGACAATGCTCAGAAGAGGGGGTGGCGGGGGGTGGTAAGAGATAAACCACAGAAATTATATGCATGTATGCATAACCAATGGACATGGACAACAAAGCCAGGGACGGGCAGGGGGGATGGGGAGGAGGGTGTCAATGGGTAAAAAAGGAGAAACATCTGTAACAAAAATAAAATTTTAAAAATTTAAAAAAAATTTGAGCTTTTAGGTAAATAATTAGAATTCTAAAGAACTTGTACCCACAAAATAAGCTTCACAGACTCTTCTAACAAGATGAGTAGTGAGTGATATTAGTAAATGTGATTTTTTTTGATATTGATAAAATATGTCAACATTTGGAAGATGTGCAAGACTCAGTAAACCATTACTTTCTAAATAGACAATGCATAATGTTGCAAGATCCATTCAAAGTGCAATGCAGGCCAACAGATTTTAATGTAAGAGAAAGAAAAGTTCATTGATATGGTTTCAGATCCACACTTGAAATAACCTTTCAGAAATGACTACTTGTCAAGTTTTGGTGTAGCGTAGAAGAACATCCACAATTTTCTGAAATTGCTATTAAAATACTCCTCTCACCAATGGTGTTTTTCACAAAACTAAAATAAATAATCCAAAAATTTACATAAAACCACAAAAGACCCTGAAGAGCTATAGCAATCTTGACAAAAAAGAACAAAGTTGGAGGTCACACTACCTGATATCAAACTATACTACAAGGCCACAGTAATCCAAACTACACGGTACTGTCATAAAAACAGACACACCGATTGAACAATGGACAGAATACAGAGCTCAGAAACAAACCCACATCTATACGGTCAATTAGTATATAACGAGGGAAGAACATACAATGGAGTATGAAGACAGTCTATTTAATAAATGGTGTTGGGAAAACTGGACAGATACATGCAAAAAAATGAAACGAGACCAACTTCTTATACCATATATAAGAATAAACTCTAACTGGATTAAAGACTTAAATGTAAATTTTGAAACCATAAAACTCCTAAAAGAAAACATAGGCAATAGTATCTTTGACATTTCTCTTAGCAATATTTTTTTTCTGATATACCTCCTCTGGCAAGGAAAACAAACAGAAAAACAAAATTAGCAAATGAAACCACATCAAACTAAATAGTGTTTTCACAGCAAAGGAAAACATCAACAAAACACAAAGACAACCTACTGAATGGGGGACGATATTCGCCAATGACACATCCAACAAGGAGTGAATGTTCAAAATTTATAAAGAACACACACACACACACCAAAAAAAATCCGGAGTACATGAACAGACACTTCTCCAAAGAGGACATGAACAGACACTTCTCCATGACATACAGATGGCAATAGACCTATGAAAAATTACTCAACATCACTAGTCATCAGAGATGCAAATTAAAACCACAAGGAAATATCACCTCACATCTGCCATAATGGCCATCATCAATAAATCAACAAACAACAAGTACTGGTGAGGATGTGGAGAAAAAGAAACGCTCATGCAATGTTGGTGGGAATGCAGACTGGTGCAGCCACTATGGAAAACAGTATGGCGTGTCCTCAAAAAATTAACAATGGAACTGCCTGTTGATCTACAAATCACATTTCTGAGAATGATTCAAAAACACCAATTCAAAAATCTACAGAGCACCCTGATATGTTAATAGCAGCATTATTTACAATAGCCAAGATCTGAAAACAGCCAAAGTGCCCATCAGTAGATGAGTGGATAAAAAGGCTGTGGTGCCCTGGCCGGTTTGGCTCAGCAGTTGGAGCGATGGCCTGTGGACCAGAGTCCTGGGTTCGGTTTCCGCTAGGAGCACATACAAAAAAAAAAAAAACCTGTGGTACAGCCCTGACCTGTTTGGCTCAGGAGTTAGAATGTCAGCCTGGGAACCAAAGAGTCTCAGGTTTGATTCCCAGTCAAGGGCAAGTACACCTCGGTTGCAGGTCCAATCCCCAGTCCTGGTTGGGGTCATGTGGGAGACAACAAATTGATGTGCTTCTCACATTGATGTTTGTCTCTCCCTCTCCCCCTCCCTCTCCCTCTCTCTTTCTCCCTCCCTTCTTCCCTCAATGAAAAAAATATCCTCCAGTGAGGATTAAAAAAATTATAATAATAAAGCAACTCTAACATGTAGTAGAAGCAATGCCACTCTCGCTACTCAGTATGCCACTGCCTCTGTAACTACAGAACAAACAATGAATGTGGTTTTCGCTTTTCACTTTCCTTCATAACAGCCAAAAATAATTTTCAGATTTCTTTCAGCAAAGTGGCTTGATGCAAACTTTCAAAAAGCCGGAGATACCTTTATCTTGATTTGATATACATAAAGAAAAACTCATTTCCCTCCACACAATTTCAAGTGGCTGAGAAACCTACTCAATGAATACTTGCATCATCTAAGAAATGTGAATAATCATTAGGTATTCTTACTGAATCAACCTTGAAACCAAAGCATCCCTTTTTTAAGTCTTGGACAGGTTTAACTGAAGGACTTTCTAATATTACTTACTGTATGAATCAGAATTTTCTGCAACTGGACAAAATAAAGAAATAAAGTAGGTTTTCAGGCAGATGTAAAACTACAACTGTCATTCATAGCTCCCAATGTCAAGATTCTGTATTCATTACTATATATTCATTATTTTTACTGATAGATTTAATAATATATAGGCTTTAGGGTAAATGTCAGTGTAAACTTATAAAGTCCATTTAACAATAAAATGCTTTTACCAATTTTATATTTCGTGTTATAATATGAATTTGACAAGTGTTCCATTGCTTTAAAAAATTTTAAAACAGCCCTGGCCAGTTTGGCTCAGTGGTTAGAGCGTTGGCCTGCGGTCTGGAGAGACCCGGGTTCAGTTCCCGCTAAGGGCACGTACCTCGGTTGCAGTTTGTCCCCGGCCCTGATTGGTCGTGCGGTGGCAGCAACTTGATGTGTCCCTTTCACATCGATGTTTCTCTCTCTCTCTCTCTTCCTCTCTCTCCCCCCCCGCTCTATCTGTACAAAAAATGGAAAAATGTCCTCGGGTGAGGATAAAAAAATAAATAAATAAAAATAAAAAACAAAAATTTTTAAAACAATGGTGGATTTGTCCAGCCAGTGTGGGTCAGTGGTTGAGCATCGACCCATGCACCAAGGGGTCGCCGGTTCGATTCCCAGTTAGGACACATGCCCAGGTTGTGGGCCGGGTCCCCAGCTGGGGGTGTAAGGGAGGTGGCCAATCAGTATTCTCTCTCATTGATGTTTCTTTCTCTCTCTCACTCTCAGTTCCTCTCTCTCTAAGATCAATAAAAGAAAAACAAAACAAAACAAAAAAAAACAATGGTGGGTTTAAGAACAGCTAAGCATTTTATTGAGACCAAGACATCCACAGACCTTGTGAAAAGAACACATTCACCATGGTAATGACTAACTGCTTAAGTACATGGAACAGGACATAAATCACTGAGATGAGTGTTCAACAAATATATACAGTTCTTATCCCCATATAACTTTGAACAGCATATTTTATTGCAATACTTACTGGTGCTACTATTTTTCCTGTCTGTCCAACTTGCATGTCATTGGGAACAAAGCCAGCATCCACAGCAGCACGAGAAGCACCAACTAAGGGAGAAAGAAATGTTTTTTTAAAGCGCAATTATTCAGCTAGTTGGGATGTTCACTGGTAATTGTAAAATCCAAAAAACCCCAACACTGATATAGTATAGTTAAGGATTTATTTTATTAAGGTCTTACTTTATCAACCACTAGGTAAACCCTCTTCATTTCTCAATGATTTTTAGGTTCTGGGTCACTGTCACTTTCTCCAACACTAGCCTTAATTTTTGCTTAGTTTCTTGAACAATCTCCTCCAGTCATCCGGTCCTCTGTGTTACTTCAGCTACACCCATAGCTATATCCCCAACCTTTCCACTATCAACATCCCTTGATAATTTCCAATTCCAACGTCTCCTGTGACCTCCTCTTTCTAGATGACTTCCTTTAGTACCCAATTCCAACAATTCTCTGACCTAACAGGGCCTTACAATCCTATTCCCTGTCTCTCTCCCCCCTCACATATTCTCTCTTTCTTTACCCAGCTTAAACTCTAGGCCAAGTGACTCTACTAACCCCTTTGTATACACCTTCAAGTTCCTTGCCTCGTCCTACATCATCTCTCACAAACAGAAAACCTGCACTCTGTTAAACTAATTAAGCAATCTCTCCCCCTTCTCCATACCTGTTCTGCATGATTAGAGAAAATCCCCAACACTCAGCCATGTTAACTGGGTTTTACTTTATTTTTATTTATATTCTTTGTCTTTTTTGATTTTAGAGAGAGAAACATCAATGAGAACATGCCTTCTGCATGCCCCCCACTGCGGAGTGGGCCCACAACCTGGGCATGTGCCCTGACTGAGAATTGAACCGGCAACCTCTTGGTGCATGGGTCAATGCTCAACCACTGAGCCACATTGGCCAGGCCACTTTAAATAACCAGGTCTAATTCTCTCACTCATTCCTAAAGTATAATTTCATACCTTCTCCCTTCAAACTTCCAGTACTCTTTAATATCCTTTCAGCTGATGGCCTTGCTTCCTATTTCATGGAAAGAACTGGAACAATCATAAGAAACCTTTCACTTGCTCCAGGTCACATACAGTTGTCAATCTGCAACTGTATCCATATGCCCTACTGTCCACTCAAGGACATCGCTCCAGCACTCTCCCTCTCTCCTGTGTGACCAGTGTTCCTCCCAATGGAGTGTTTCCATCAGCATACAAACAACCTATTATCTGTCCCACCTCTAAAAAAAATCCCTGTTGGTCCCACTACCTCCCTACCTACCATCCATCTCTCTACCCTCCTATATCAAAATCCCTCTAAAGAGTTGTTTATATCAACTGTCTCCAATCCCAGGCCTCTCATTCTATGTTTAAAAACATTTTTATTGAAACATAACACACACATAGAAAATCACACAAATCACACATAGTTTATCAAAAAGTGAATGCAGCCATGTAACCATTGCCTAAGACCAATATTTTAAACCCACTCCAGTCAGGTTTCTGCCCCAACTACTCCACTAAAAATGCTCAAAGTTACCAATGAACCTTAAGTGGTAAAATCTATTAGTCACCTTTCAGTCCTCATTTTCCTTGACCTAGTAGCAGCATTTGACATAGTTGATCACTCTTTCCCTTACTAAAATACTTCACTTGGCCCTGGTCGGTTTGGCTCAGCAGTTAGAGCGTAGGCCTGCAGTCCGGAGAGACCCGGGTTCGGTTTCCGCTGAGGGCACCGTACCTCAGTCGCAGTTTGTCCCAGGCCCTGTTTGGGTCATGTGGGTGGCGACCACTCAATATGTCCTTTTCACATCGATGTTTCTCTCTCTCTCTCCCTCCCACTATATCTGAACAAAATATGGAAAAATGTCCTCAGGTGAGGATTAAATAAATAAATAAATAAATTTTAAAAATACTTCACTAAAATCTCTGTCCTGGTTTTCCTGCCTTACTTACCACCCCTTTTTGGTCTTCATTATCCCCTATCTCTATTTTTATTTTATTTTGTAATTTAAATGTTTTTTCTCCCTACCCTCTTTATTGATGTTAGAGAGAGGGAGAGGAAGAGAGAGAGAGAAACATCAATGAGCAAGAACATCGAATGGCTGCCTCCTTCATGCCCCCCACTGGGGATCGGGCACCCACAACCTGGGCATGTGCCCTGACCGGGAATCGAACTGGTGACCTCTTGGTACATGGGTCAATGCTCAACCACTGAGCCACACCAGCTGAGCTTAAATATGTCTTTTTTTGGGGGGGGGGGAGGCAGAGAAAGACAGAAACATCAATGTGAGAGAAACATCAACTGGCTGCCTCCTGCACCCCCCCCCTACTGGGGATCGAGCCTGCAAACTGAGCATGTGCCCTGCCTAGGAATTGAACAGGGACTATGCTCAATCTACTGAGCCACACTGGCTGGGCTAAAAAACTTATTTTTAATTACAGTTGACATGTTATATTAATTTCAGGTGTACAACATAGTGATTCAACATTTTTATACCTCACGAAGTAATCACCACAGTAAGTCTAGTACCGATCTGTCCCCATGCATGGTTATTACTATGTTATTGACTATATCCCCTATGCTGTACTTTACAATCCTGTGACTTATTTAATACTCTGTAGGTCCAAGCACACTGTTACAAATGGCAAGATTTCATACTATTTTATGGCTCAGTAATTCATCAATATACATTTAAAGCAAGTTCTGTCATTCCTAGAAATGGTTAATTATGATTTCAAAATAACATTAAATGTTCATTTCAATTTGTATGATTTATATCAGACCACCAATAAAGAGAAAAATAAGGGCATTCCTGAATCTGACGTAGCCACTGAAGCTACATTCAAATTTTCTTTTTTTTTTTTTTAATCCTCATCCGAGGACATTTTTCCATTTTTTGTACAGACAGTGTAGGAGGGAGAGAGAGGAAGAGAGAGAGAGGGAAACATCGATGTGAAAGGGACACACCGAGTGGCTGCCACCCACACGACCAACCAGGGCCGGGGACAAACTGCAACCGAGGTACATGCCCTTAGCGGGAGACCAAACCCGGGTCTCTCCGGACCGCAGGCGGACGCTCCAACCGCTGACCAAAACCGGCCAGGGCTCAAATTTTCTTAAAAATGGAAAAATCTACTAAGATTTGACAAATGTAAGAGTGTCACATAAATAGTGAAAAAGAATCACCTGGCTGGTTTGGCTCAGTGGTTAGAGCATCAGCCCGCAGACTAAAGGGTCGTGGGTTCGATTCTGGTCAAGGGCACATATCTTGGTTGCAGTTCGTCCCTGGTCCTAGTTGGGGTCATGCAGGAGGCAACCAGTCGATTGTGACCCTCTCACATTGATGTTTCTCTCTCTCTCTCCCTCTCCCTCCCTCCCATTCTATCTGAAGATATATAGAAAAATAGCCTCGGGTGAGGATTAAAAAAAAAAAGAATGAAGACTCCCACTCTCACTGAATGCTATACCATTTACTTGGAGACTAAGAAAAACTGTTTCAGAGAGAAAACCTAAAAACCAGAAAAAGTAAAATAAGTTTCAGCCTTGAGTGGTATATAGATTTAAAAAAAATCTCCAACAAAAAGGGAACATTTTTCTGCTAAGGAAAACAACTTACCTGCAGCATGTAGTTGATCTGCCAAATCATATAGCAACTTAAAGTTCTCTCCACTCTTTAAACCCCGACCTCATTTTTAAAAAAAAGAAAAAAAAAATTAGGCAAATATAAACTCCATTCTACAAAAATTTTGCAACTTTATATACCTGAGTGATATTCGCATTACACAACTGTCATATTAAGCAAGCCACCTCCTCCAAAAAGCCTTTCCTGATGTCCCCAGTGATGCTCTTGTTCTTCTGTAAAAGCATTCAATACTGCTGTAATTAACTAACAAGTTAACTAATGATATAATAGATCTTGAAATCAGTCTTCCCCATAAGAGCTAAAACTCTAACTGTAGGATCCACATCTATCTTGGTCACTGCTATATCCACAGCATTTAGCAAAACCTCACTGAATGACTGAAGTTATTTATTTGCATGGAAGTCATCCCCCTAGACTTCAACTCCTTAATAGCAAGAATCCCTGCTTTTCCTCTTTGTTCCTCCAGCACTTTGCAATGGGCCCGCCACGGAACAGATACCCAGGAAACATTTTTTCAAAAAATAAGTGATTAAACGAGTCACAACTACCTTTTCAAAATGTTAAATTATTTTATAATGTTTTTATTGAATTTTTAGGGAGAAAGAGATTGAAACATTGATGTGAGAAACGCCAATCGGCTGCCTCCTGCACGCCCCCTACTGGGGATCGAGGACGCATCCGGGGCATGTGCCCTGACCAGAAATCGAACTGGGACCTCCCAGTCCATGGGTCGGCACTCAATCTACGGAGCCAAACCAGCTGGGCAAAATATTAAATTATTTCCTCTCAATGCCCCATGCCAATGCAAGGCTGTTTGGAAGCGTAATCATTTTATCTGATGTTTACTTTGGAAAGATTTTAAAATCATAGCAGAGTATAAAAAAAATATTTTTTCCTAAAAAAGGAGAATGATATACAAAAAGAAGCAATATCAATAGCTTTGATATTAATTGTGAAGAAACTTGCAAAGAGTTATTCTTTAGAGACCGACCTGTAAAACACTACAAGCTGAAACAAAGTAGTGTGAAGGGTGGGAATCATACAACATGGCCCTGAGATTCCCAGGAATTCTTTCCATGTTTCTGAAGACAACCATACTTATCTTCAGAATAACATGGAAGTCAGTCAATAAAACAAAGATACTAAGTTGCAAAGTTATGTTGATGAGATGTGTACTATGCTCCTGCTTGTGCAAGGGACACATATTTACAACAGAAAGCCCAAATTATGGAAAAAGTTCATGATTTCACTTTCCTAATTAGTAAAATGGGAATAATACTTTCAACTTACCTATGTCTTATGTTTCAAATAAAATCTGTGCTCCTCTTAAATAAACATTAATAAAATCAAAGTATTTTAACTTGACATCATCCTTTAAAATTAACACATTACAAATCTCACTTACCACCAGATACCACCACTTTGGCACCAGTTAGCTCTGGTCGATCACTTTTCGTTAATTTCTGGTCAAGCCATTCTGATATCCCCACCGGAGAGATACTTGATGCTATATACATTGATATAATAAACCAATGACTATGAGTCCAAGTTCTAAAATAACAATAATTTTAAGAAAAACACACAAAGAATTCCATGAAATTTAAGCTTATTGGTTGCTGTAAATTTTTTGTGCTCCCACTTTCCTTCTCTTTGATTTTTTAAAAGTCTTAAAGGGACTAGATTCCAGCCTTCACCTCATTAGCTGTATGACTTTTGAGAAGTCATTTAATTCTGAGTCTACCTTTAAAACTGAAACAACCCTGTCTACGCAGTTCAAATAAGATACTGTATTTGTTAAAGTGTAACACTCACAATACTTTCACATTCTTCTATTATACAGAATCTCCTAAGTATCATAATAGGAAACAGTGAGAGGAAAGCAAAAATCTTAACCTCAACATAACACATTAATTTTAATGGATCCTCTCTCACCCCTTTGATCTACCTAAGCGGCTATCCTAGTACCCAAAATGATATGAAAAAAAATCATTACAAATATTTTTTATTTTTGTGTAAGATTAAGAATAACATTTAGATTGAGCTCTCAAGTTAACTGCATTAGAAATGTAACTGGAGACCATCTCTTATACTCTTCCATGAACAGAAAAACAAGCAACAAAACCAAATACAAACTATAAATAAACTCTTACCTTTTTCTGAGCTGGCATTACCTCCACTTGTTGCTGCAGCTTCAAAAGCTGTTCCTCGGACAGAGAACACCTTCACTTTTTCATCACACTTCACTGTACATAAAGCATTTCCTGAAATACACGGTTTACTTAAAAAACATATATATATATATATATATATATATATATATATATAGGAAAGGCAACAAAGTAGTATTCCTTTGGTTCAGAATTTACTTCATAAACACAAGGCAGAAATAATTGGGCCACTTGTGTCCTACCTCTACGAAGCACAGGAAAAAAGGACCATAACACCGAAGAAACATTATCAGTCCACATTTGTTTAACCTTGGATATCTTGAAAAATAGGACTAGTGCTGACCTGCCAAAAATTAAGTGAGTGGACAAGGAAACCACACAAATTTGGCCCACTCTTCCCTAAAACGAATATAAAAAAAAAGTCCTTCTCTAAAAACAACACAATCAGTAACTCAACAGTATGAGCTGCAACTTAATAGGAATGAAGCTACTATGCATGCTAGGGGAGGAAAAGTGAAAGGATGATAGGGCACAAAGAATAAGAAGTGCTGCCTGGCTGGTGTGGCTCAGTGGTTGAGTGTCGACCCATATACTAAGAGGTGGCCAGTTCAATTCCTGGTCATGGCACATGCCCAGGTAGTGGGCCAAATCCCCAGTGCAGAGCATGCAGGAGGCAGCCTATCAATGTTCTCTCATTGATGTTTCTATCTCTCTCCCCCTTCCTTCCTTCCTTTCTCTCTAAAATCAATAAAGAGCCCTGGCAGGTTTGGCTCAGTGGTTGGAGCATTGGCCTGCGGACCAGAGAGTCCTGTGTTCGGCTGTGTTCAGTTACCACTAGGGGCACATACCAAAAAAAAAAAAAAAACGTAAAAAAAAATTTGCAATGCACTGAGATTTTAAAAGGTTTTGAGACATTTCTTATGAATTAGCAATCACATTAAGAATAACCTAAACAGCCCTGGCCAGTTTGGCTCAGTGATTAGAGCGTCAGCCTGCGGTTCAGAGAGACCCGGGTTCGGTTCCCGCTAAGGGCACATACCTTAGTTGCAGTTTGTGCCTGGCCCCGGTTGGGTTGTGCGGGTAGCAACCACTCGCTGTGTCCTTTTCACATCGATGTTTCTCTCTCTTTCTCCCTTCCTCTCTCTCCTTCCCACTCTATCTGAACAAAAAATGAAAAAATGTCCTCGGGTGAGGATAAAAAAAAAAAAAAAGAATGACCTAAAGTATGACCAAATATTTCCCCTCAGACTACTAAAGTCTGAAGATCTGATTTAAGGGTGACTATTTATCTTGAAACACACTTCAATCAGAAAGAATTCACAACCTTCTCCTACCCCACCACACACCAAAGATCAAGACACAGATGGAAATGGAAGAGAAGCAGCAAAGAAGACTCAGAATGCTATTTAAAAAAAAAAAAAAAAGGAAGTTTTTCTTTTCCAAATGCCACTTACAAAATATGTTGAATAGTGAATCCAATTTCTATTGATTGCTGGAAAAATCTCACTCTGTAAACTGAATGACCAGGATGCAAAGAACTGTGCCCTGGATCTGTCAGAAAGAATGTCTTATCATGGTCTAGCAGCAATACTAAGATTTTTGTCAGAAACCTTTAAGATGGTCCATTCAAAACAACTGTATGACATTTTTTAAAAATATTAACTTTGAGATTAATTTCTGCTTTTAAATTTACAAAAATTTAACTTTTTGTTGTGGTGTTGTTGATCCTTACCCGAGGATATTTTTCCATTTCTTTAGAGAGACTGGAAGGGGGGTGGGGGGAGAGAGAGAAACACCAATGTGAGAGAGACACGTAGATTGCTTACCTCCAGCACAGCCTGGACCAGGGCCCGGGACTGAACCTGCAGCCCAGGTATGTGCCCTTGACTGGGAATCAGCCACAGCCAAAAATTTAGTTTTGTTTGTTTTTTTTTATCCTCACCCGAGGACATTTTTCCATTTTTGTTCAGATAGAGTGGGAGGGAGAGAGAGGAAGAGAGAAAGAGAGAGAAACATCAACCTAAAAGGGACACATCGAGTGGCTGCCTCCTGCACAACCCCAACCAGGGCCAGGGACAAACTGCAACCAAGGTACGTGCCCTTAGCGGAAACTGAACCCGGGTCTCTCTCGGGCTGAGGCTCTAATCGCCAAACCAAACCGGCCAGGGCAAACATTTTAATTATTTATTTTCCTTGGGTACTCACCTGCATAAATAGTTCTCACAAACGTGTCAGGTGACTTGATCGCAATAATGTCAGAAATTGGGGCAACATCGAGTTTGGCTGCTATTCTGGGCAAAAGGTTCTAAAAGTAAAATAAGCAGTAAGTAACAAAGATACATCTGATGAATGGCTATAAACTACCAGCAATAACATTCTCTAAATGCATATTCTGTAGAAATTTTAATTCAAATATTTTCCATTTCACATACAGCTTTAGACACTACAACTGGAAGCACAACTTTTTAGATAGTCTTTGAGATTAAGTAGGTCTATCATTGCTCTAACTATATTAAGAATGTATGAGTTTTACATGTTTATAAACCACCTTAAATCAATATGTTGAATTATGAAATGATGTAGGCTTTAATAAACATCACTTACAAAGTGTGACATGTATTACTAAATTCAGATGAGAAAGATAGAAAATATTTAGAATAGTAAAATTCTCAAGTACCAAAAATATACTTGTATATATTTATTTACCTGATGTATATAAAAGACTTCAAAGCAGACATTTCACCTTTTAAAAAATTGATATTGCATATGAAAAATCAAAACCAACCTAAATATCAGTCAACAGGGGATAGATAGGATTATAAATCATCCATGTAATGGAGCCCTATGTTATCATACAAATAAAATGAGAAAGCTGAAGCACAGCCTGTATAGCATGTATAAGAAGAGCAAAAAAATTAATGTGCATGTTCTTCCTTGTATCACATATAAAATCTCCAGAATAGATGTATGTGATAACTTCACTCTCACTAGCAGGGGTCACTGGGGAAACCACAACATCCCCAGGTCGCAGTTACCTTATCTCACAATGAGAGGAAGAGAATCCCTATGCTTCCAGTCCAAAATTCTAAGATTCTAGGGCTCTCACCCAGAGACTCTCGGTTAGTGAAGACTGACTATCCTTACTTTCTAGACTCAAAGACTCTCTTAGATGACGACATCATCTAAATTAATCAAAAGTGCAGTGTTGCTTTCATCACACAAATAGTAAAGCTGAATTCTGCACTACTTTCTACAGAGCTTCCTCTATGGCATCTCCTGAACTTGGTCAATGAACCCCCTCTCTGCAAGGACAAACTCTCACGACAGCAGGATTCAAGTTCCTCTCCACATTCCATCCCCAAACCCTGTCTCTAAGACTTCTCCCAGGATTATCTTCTGATTACTCCTTTAATTCTGCATCCTTCCACACACATGTACAATTACACTACTTATATGGCAGTAAGTCTATTGTTTTAAAATAATTTGTAACACACATACTATATGACCCTCAACTAAATGTTTAAGCACCCCAAGGGCAGAGGTTTATATACTCGATGTCTCTTGTGTCCCTAATCCACATCTAGTAAGTGTTTCTAAATAGATTGATACTAAAAAGTGTTGATAGCTTAGGTCAATTTTCTTGCTGTCATATTTCCAAGAGGAAAGGTTTCCTAATTTTCGGTTTGTTACCTACATTATATAGTAATCCTCTTTCAAGTAAACTAAAAAGTACTATGGTTTATACAACTACAATTAGAAAACATTGAGATCTCCTAGAAAACAGAGGGTATGAATTTATGTGATGCAGAAAAAGCAGTTCTAAGAGGGAAGTTCATACATACAGGCCTGTCTCAAGAAACAAGAAAAAATCCCAAATAAACAATCTAACTTTACACCTACAGGAACAAAAAAAGGAAGAACAAAGCCCAAATTGAAAAGGAAGGAAATAATAAATACCAGAGCAGAAGTAAATAGAGACTTAAAAAAATTAAAATCGCCCTGGCAGGTTTGGCTCAGCACTTAGAGCATTGGCCTGCGGTCCAGAGAGACCCAGGTTCGGTTCCCGCTAAGGGCACGTACATCGGTTGCGGCTTGTCTCCGGCCCTTGTTGGGTCATGCGAGAGGCAGCCACTCGATGTGTCCCTTTCACGTCAATGTTTCTCTCTCTCTCTCTTTCTCTCTTTCCCTCCCACTCTATCTGAACAAAAAATGGAAAAATGTCCTCGGGTAAGGATAAATAATAATAATAATAATAATAAAAATCAATGAAACCAAGAGCTAGTTGTTTGAAAAGATAAAATTGACCAACCTTTAACCAAACTCATCAAGAAAGGAGAGTTCAAAACTTAAAAGAGAGTGACAACTGACACCATAGAAATACAAAGAAACACTAAAGATTGCTACAAACGATTGTATGGAAACAAATTTGACAATCTAGAAGAAATGAATAAATTTATAGAGGCATACAACCTTCCAAGAGTGAACCAGGAAGAATTAGAAAATCTAACCAGACTGATTACTGGCAATGAAATTGAAGCAGGAGATAGATTTTGGCCTTTCTAAATATCCATCAGCCACCTGACTAGACCATCTCTTTAGATAGGTTAAAAATACAAATGACATTTACAGACACAAAGATAATTGAACATGTTCTCTAAAAACATAATTTTTTTGACTAGCCTGCCTGACAAAACTTGAAAATCTGGAAGTTGCATTCTAATAAATTATGACAAAATCTTAAAAGAATACAGTTGTCTCTGACAAAATTTGAAAACCTGGAGATCACGTTTTAACAGAAATTATAACAGAATCTTGAAATAAATTTTTAAAAACTACATTAATTCAGAAAGCCAAGATTAGCTATAGAAACAAAGTATATTGTACAGTTTCAGCACAATGAAATCTAGCCCTTCTGAGTAGTGACATAAGAGCCCACACCCTCCATCTTCTCACCTTTCCAAAGGCAGATGCTCCAGCACAGATGTGTGTGTAACCAAACTGCTTCTGAGTTGCCAAAATCAATGGTGTCAGTTCCTCTGAAAATCAAACACAGCTGATAAATATGTTTTATAATATTTTCATGTTCATATACTCAAGAATCATTTAGACCTTTCACTTTTCCCACAGGAAAAACTTACCTGGAAGAAGGCCCTTGTATGCATCATGCTGAGCCACCAGAACTTTTGTTATACCTGATACTTTGCAGAGATCTTGTGCCACCTATGATTAAAAGAGTTTTTAATTATCCATCTAACAGAGAGATGCAAATGTAGTCACCACTACAAATATCAGACCATAAAACCTTAACAGGCAACTGTAAGAACTGTTCTTATCAGAAAAAGGGCTACTTAGAGGGAAAAAATATCTTAGAGGGAAATGAAAATCTTATGTCAATTGATCTTACTACAAAATGACCTTGAACAAAAATTCCTGCCCTGAAAAAGGAAAGTACTAAATGATAAATCAACAAAGCTCTCTAGTCAAACTGAGTTGTACACTGTGCTCTTTATCTTTCGATCACTGCAAATGCAAGTTCATCATTTTAGAAAATAGTGAAAACGAGGCAATGTTCGTCTCTCATAATAACAACATAGCCAATACATTTCAGACCTAGGGTTTCCTAGGGATAAAAAAAAACAGGACCCAGCCACACTGGTTTACAGTCCACGGCACTTTATTTGGCAATAATTTCTGCTGATAATAAAACTAGTGAATCTGGGCAAGACCAAAATCTTATAGCAGTCCCTTCATTGTCAACCACTGAGTTCCTGACCACCTCTATGTATTTATCTATAAGAAATTTATATATTTTAATTCCTCATTTTCCCTGTTTGGTTCAGGAAGGAGTTCTGGGAAAGCCTTCTGACCACTCATATTTCCTGTATACAGAGGCAAGTAGAATTCCCCCCTTTACAGTCTCTTTAATTACGGCATGGCTGGCTTCCACTTTAGCAGAAACATGGCAATCATACTATAGTCTTCTGTCTTCTTGTTTACCTCCATGCTGATTCACTGATGAGTAGGCATAAAAGGTTGCGCCTCCTGCTCACCTCAAAGGACGGTAAGGCTGCAACAATTTTCACTGAAGAAAGGATGCAGTGCACAAGTATCTCTGCTGAATCAAGTCATCACTGGCAGGATACCTTGTTCTAGCAAAACTATCTCTTTATTACCAGTAAAAGCTTCTTGCACTACACAGAAAAATCACTGGCTGCTTACGATAAATAGCTATATAAAACAGTGCAGATCTGAAATCTGCCTGGGCTATTAACAGTCTCCCATACAGTAATTGTTTTTCTTTAAGAATAGAATGTGCGCCCTGGCCGGTTTGGCTCAGCGGTTAGAGTGTTGGCCTGCGGTCCGGAGAGACCCAGGTTCGGTTCCCGCTAAGGGCACGTACCTTGGTTGCAGTTTGTCCCCGGCCCTGGTCGGGTCGTGTGGGTGGCAACCACTCGATGTGTCGCTCTCACGTCGATGTTTCTCTCTCTCTCTCCCTCTCACTCTATCTGAACAAAAAATGGAAAAATGTCCTCAGGTGAGGATAAAAAAAAAAAAAAAAAAAAAATAGAATGTGACAGGGTAATAAAATTTAACTGAACAGAAGATGGTTTCTGCTTTGATTTTTCTAAAAATAATAAAAATAAAATAACATTTCAAATATTTAAAAGTAATATTAGAATAATTACTTAAAATCACAGCAAATAAACAATCAAACCCAGAACTTGTATATCTGAAAGCCAGGCAACCAAAAAACATAGCACAGTCCTATCCTCATATACTGTGGTATCAACTACATAAAATTCAGTAGTTGTTGGCAGGCTTTCAGAAGAGAAATGCACATAATGTACCCCAAACCAACTAGAATACATTCTTTTTTTTTCTTTTATTGGTTTTTAGAGAGAGAGAGAAACATCGATGAGAGAAAAAATCAACTGGCTGCCTCCTGCATGTCTGCACTGGGGATCAGGCCCACAACATGGGCATGTGCCCTGACTGGGAATAGAACCGGCGACCTCTTGGCGCATGGGTTGACACTCAACCACTGAGCCATACTGGCCAGGCTAGAATACATTCTTTTAAGATATCAGTGTCCTGTAAGAAATTGGAAGTGACACTATCATCCTGAACCTCATTATAAAACACGGTCTGCATCAATACCATTTAGTTAAAACTAAATTTCTATAAAAAGTAAAGGGAACATGCTGTTTCCAGATTTCTTCCTCTAAAGTCCAAGACCCCAACCACACACACAGCAACCCATGTGGTGTGGGAGGAAATTGGAGGCTCAAGCTACCTACACTTGATTGAAGCAAGATTTCAAATGCACTGCAGCCCAGGGGAACAGACCCTGCAAACCAGGAGGTGAGTGTACACGGCTGTCACAGTCTTATTCCAACAACAACAACAAAAACGAAGAACATCTTTTCACACCACTACTTTCACAGTACTAAAGCATAGTACTACTTCCATTTGAGTTCTTACAACAATTAAAAAGTAGCACTCATGATACTTTGTTCAGATATACCACTTTAAGGAATTAAAAGCAATTAGTAAGTATATTCATCAATACAAAAAAGGAATCGGCTATTAACCTCTAAGGGGACTCAGATATGATCAGTCCACTTGGTACCTGATGGCACCCAACGGTGCCAGTGAAACTAAATCAGTATTCCACCTCATTTCAAAGATGAAATGCTTAGTGAGCAAACTTAGTTTTTTTCACACATAGTAATGGTTGTGACATTGGCCATTTAATGAGGATTAGAGCCCAGTTTGGGTTACAGTCCTCACCATAATTCTCTGTTGCCATCTTTCCCTGTCTCTTGATGGAGATTATATTTGCTATGATTGACCTTAAAAATTTCTCACCTTGTCACATTTGGTTCCAGCTATTAAGCAAGACACTTCACCTCCAAGACGTTTGGCTGCAGTGACGGTATTTAATGTAATGGGTGCTACGGTATCGTTTGCATGCTCAGCTATTACCAGGGTACTCTGAAATCGCAGCAATAAGGCCTAAAAAGAGGGAAAAAAATGGAAAAGAATCTTACAAAACACACAGGTTTTTTTTTTGTTTTTGTTTTTTTAATGATTGTTAAGCATGTGCGCTTTAAAGAAAACTGTACACAATACTCACTGCTATAAATATATTCATAAAACACTTTGCTCAATAGCAAAAATTAGGCCATTGTGTCTATCACTATATTATTATTATTCATAGCTAATAAGAACAAAAATGCAAATTAATGTTCTACTGTTAGAAAATTTAAAAAATTATTTCAAAACAATTTTCCCACTAATCTATGTTCAATGAGACACTCAATATATATAAATTTTAAACCTTAAGCGGAACATGTTAGTATCAAAGTAGGAAACAAACTACCAATTACATTCACTTGCAGCAATGCTGCTCAACAGTACAATATATTCAGAAATAATGACTCTGACATCAGTTACTCAAGCTGATTCCTTTTGCTTTAGGCAAAATACAATCAATAATCAAAATAACTGATAATGTAAATCTGTCTTTAAAATAAAACACACAGCAATTTTGCTGGGGTTTCAACTGTTCAACTATGCTTCTGAATTCAAAAAAGCAGCTTATAGACAAGTTCTTCGAAACAATCAGTATCTACCCATATCTACTGTAGACTATCAAGAGACCACTAATAGTTCATGGTCATCTAGAATGACTTCAAACATCAGGAACACAAAGATGAACAAGAATAGTCCCTGCACTCAAAAATTTCAAGGTAGCCCTGGCCAGTTTGGCTCAGTGGTTAGAGCGTCGGCCTGCGGTCCGGAGAGACCCGGGTTCGGTTCCCGCTAAGGGCACGTACTTCGGTTGCAGTTTGTCCCCGGCCCTGGTTGGTCGTGCAGGTGGCAGCCACTCGATGTGTCCCTTCACGTCGATGTCTCTCTCTCTCTCTCTCTCTCTGATCCTCTCTCTCCCTCCCACTCTATCCGTACAAAAAATGGAAAAATATCCTCGGGTGAGGATAAAAAAAAAAAAAAAAATTTTCAAGGTAAACAATATGTGTTCACACACAATTATAAAATGGAAGTTTCTCCATTAACAAAGATATCCAAAATGGTGGAGGTGCTGAAGTAGAGAATCAAAAACAAAGAAGGAAGTTTAGACATGAGGAAAGGAGCAAGTGTTGGAACTATCCTTGTGGGAAACAGCAAAGAGAAATGAGAAAAAGAGACTGATGATCTAATGGCATGGTTGTGTGGCTTCGTTCAGCAATAACCTTCATAATCTGAAGGTGCAGAGAAAAGCATAACAAAATTTTTACCCACAGCTGGAAATTTTCAATAAGGGTATAAATGAAGGGAAGTCAGCCACAGGTCTATAATGCTGGTTAACAACTAAATTTACAAAACACCTTTTTTCCCCCCCATTTACTATACTGTAACTATCAATTGCTCTATTTTCATATTCTTCACCTTAGAACATAAGATATGAACATACCAATTCAACCAGTCTCTGTAGTAACTTGCGTTATTAATAATATATTATTAAAAACAATGCAAAGACCCTCCTTATAGCTAAATCTCTGCATTCATCCTCAATAGATGGAGGGTTCCTTCTAGTTCTAGAAAGACCCTTCTGATTGGAACCTGGCCAGACTATAGCTGCTCTGCTTCCACAGAAGACTAAACCAGATTATGCTGAACCTTCAACAAGATAGGGGCCTCTCCCTGCCTCCCCCAAACCCCGCAAGTTCCTACCTCTACTTCTCACCCCTGTAGCTTGCCCGCTATCTTGCTCTTCATGCTCCCCACTCTAGCATGCCCACCCAGATCCCCCCAAACTACTCCTCAGTCCTCTAAACTCCATCTTATCCTTAATGAACACAATCCCAGAGCTAGGGGTCAAGGACTCCAGGACAAGCCTTCCAGGTATGGAAATACTTCTAGAGCCACACCAACCTGAGTGTTGGAAGAGGAAGAGGACAGCACAGGAGGGATGTGCCAGAGGAAGGAACCCTTGCATTGGTATCAGTGGATGACACTTCTCATGGTTTTCCTCATAAGACCCATCTTTTCTGTAAATTATAGTTCTAACAACAGATTATTTAGGTAGTTCTCCTAAGGAATCCTCATGCTTTTTAGAACTTCCACGGGGACTTGTGTGTCTGTATGTGTGTAGATATAAAATCTTATTTAAAACTCGTAACAACTCTATGATGTAGGTACTATTACTACCCTGACTTTAAGATGACGAAAGTGAAATTTAGTGGATACGTAGCTAGGAAGCAGAGGCAAGTTAAAAGTCCAGGTTATCAGATCCCAGAATTTTGGTTCTCAATTACCCATTCACATCAAAGCACCATCATTTTTAGCAGTTTTATATATGGGTCATTCCTAAGATTTCACTTTGCAAATATTCCCCTGCTTTGTTTAAGAAAAAAAAAAAAAAAAAGCACTGGTCAAAAAGGGAAGGGGGGCGGGCATCAAAGGCCTCTTTCCAGCTCAAAAGTTCCACAACCCTAAATTCCTACGTTAAATAGAACAGTGGTATAGAATACCACTAACGATTCAAAAAGTACAGGCCCATTACTGAAAAAGTTTTTAAGTAAAAGTCATTTTGTTATTTTATCTTATGCACCATTTAGAGTCCTCTTTTTTTTTAATGGAGAAAAGGAACCAAAATCTTAAATATTTAAAGCTAACTACTGAAATACTTAATAAAGTAACTACCCAGAAAGGAATCCCAATCTCTTCTAATCACTGCTATTTAAATCAAGATTAACAACTGCAGACTGTGTCACTATAAAGTCTTGGTCCTCAACCTTATCTGGGCCCTCAAAACTACCTGGCAATATTACTCTCTTTTACTCTCCATAGCCACTGTTTCAAATATCCTCTTCTGATATTTCTCAAACTGCCTGAACAGTCTGCTCCCTACTCAGAAAAGTGCTTCACTTCCTGCTTCACAATGAAAACTGAAGCCATCAGAAAGGACCTTCCTGATATTCAACACAGAAATTCCTGCCCTATCACAATAGAAGCTTTCTAAGCACTTATGTGTACCTACCAAGAACAGTGCACAGACATGTCTAATCACTGAAGCAGCTACCCCACCATGCTTTTAGAGAACTTGTCTAGACTACCGTCTAAACTGAGTTCCAAAAAGTAAAACATGAAAAGCGTTTGTTCTTTCACATACCAGCCACATACCCTTCTTTAAGATGATTGGCCTTTATGAGATACAGGCATGCCTCACTTCACAGATGTGTATGTTTACATATTGAAGGCAAGACCCTCCACTAGCAAAAAGATAACAACCAGCTTTATTGCCAAACTCTGGAACTGAACTGACAGTATTTCTGAAGTCTGCCTGCAGTATACTTCCTGAGGGTTGGGTTTAAAAGAGATTACTATACTCTCTCCACTTTCCGAGCCAAACGTCTTGACAATAATATCAATACACACCAACTCTACTGCCTTACCTACACCTCCTTTTCTCCTTGACTCGCAGCAAACTGATTTTCCACCTCTACTATAACACTGAACCCAACCTCTCCAAAGTCACCAACAACCATGTCACAGCTAAGCTCAGTGAACACATTTTGGTCCTTCTCTTATCACCCTTAACAGGTTTTGACACTGCTTTAGCTTTTCATTCTTTTAGGAGCAACCAAGGAGATTTACTGCTCAGGAGTTCCTGAGACTTAACTGTATGTAGTCAACTACCACAGGTATTAGAAGACCAAAAAAAGACAAAAGCTATACTTTAACTCCCCATTTTACCCTTACAAACACACTCAAAACCTTAAGTAGAGCCCTGGCCGGTTCCTCAGCGGTTGGAACGTCGGCCTGCGGACCAGAGTCCCGGGTTCGGTTCCTGCTAGGGGCACATACCAAAAAGAAAAAAAAAAACCTTAAGTAGTAAGAATAATTTAAACACATGTCCCCTACCATTTTTTAAAAAGTGGGGTAAGCGGCCCTGGTTGGGTCGTGCGGGTGCCAGCCACTCGATGTGTCTCTTTCACGTCTATGTCTCCCCCCCCCCCCCTTTCTCTCTCTCCCTCCAACTCAATCTGAACAAAAAAATGGAAAAATGCCCTCGGGTGAGGATAAAAAAGTGGGGTAAGGGTTGCCCTGGCCAGTTTGGCTCAGCTGTTAGAGCATCCGCCTGCTAGAGAGTCGGCCTGCGGTCCAGAGAGACCCAGGTTCAGTTTCCGCTAAGGGCATGTGCCTCGGTTGCAGTTTGTCCCCGGCCCTGGTTGGTCGTGCAGGTGGCAGCCACTCGATGTGTCCCTTTCACATCGATGTTTCTCTCTCTCTCTCTCCCACTCTATCTGAATAAAAAATGGGAAAATGTCCTCGGGTGAGGATAAAAAAATAAATTTTTAAAAAAGTGGGGTAAGGGTAATGAGGGGGTGGGCATGAAGGTCTTTTGCTTCTTTGCTCAAAAATTTAAAAGCAGGAACAAGCAATAAAGTCTCATCAAGTTCTACTGGAAAAGATAAATATATAACTAAAGTCACCTATCCCTATTTTTTGTTTTTAAATCTTCACCCGAGGATATTTTTGTATTTATCTTCAGATAGAACAGGAAGGAGAGAGGGGGGAAGAGAGAGAAACCTCGATGTAAGAGAGACACATCGACTGGCTGCCACCCACTAAAGTCACCTATCCCTATTTTAACATACCTTTTGTAATAAAATATATACTATACTTCTGTACTAATTAACTTACTTTAACCTCTTTAATAATAAAATATGGTAACTTTTAATCATGAGTAGAAATGTCATATGACAGTGATTATAATATTAAAAACACAGTCGATTTTACTTCACTTTAAAAACAGGACCCTTAGTAGACACACTGGCAGGTAGCATAACTTTATGGAATTCACCTTATGCAATAAATCTCTTTAAAACCACATCAAAATGGGCTCTTTCTTCTTTCAAAAGAAACTAAAATTTGTATGTGAATCACTCTCATTCATCAACACTAGACCATGGTCTCTGAAAAACGCGGTGTTCCTTCTCCACATGGGCTTCACAGCTTCCGAACCCTGACTGCCGGCCTTCCATCTGGCAGTGACACGGTAACAGGGACACTGAGACGACCTTGGAAAGTTGCTTTACTCTCCACATGTTTCTTTGGTATCTTATTTGTCAACAAATTCATTCCAAATGCAAATAAACACAAGAATACTAGTAATTCAGATCACTGCACCCACGAGAATGTTAACTAGCTGCAAATGCCCACCGACTCTCCTTTCGGCGTGTCCTCCAGCTCCTTGGTAGATACAAAACACACCCTTCGGGACTAGAGGGCACTGAGGGCACAAATGTGTCAAAACTGGAAATGAACTTAAGATACCAAATGCAAGCCACTAAATTTCATGCAAAGGGTTTAAGGTGGGTTTCCTTTTTTTAAAAACAATAACTGTAGTAAAAAACAAAATGTACCGCCCTGGCCGGTTTGGCTCAGCGGTTGGAGCGTCGGCCTGCGGTCCAGTGACCCGGGTTCGGTTCCGCTAAGGGCATGTACCTCGGTTGCAGTGTGTCCCCGGCCCTGGTGGGTCGTGCGGGTGGCAGCCACTCGATGTGTCCCTTTCACGTCGATGTTTCTCTCTCTCTCTCTCTTCCTCTCTCTCTCTCCCTCCCTCCCGCTCTATCTGAACAAAAATGGAAAAATGTCCTCGGGTGAGGATAAAACAAAAACAAAATGTACCACCTTAACCATTTCTAAGTGCAGGGCTGAGTCGTGTCAAGCAGTCCTGACTCCCGAGACGTCACAAGGGCGACAGCAGCCGGCGAAGGGGCCGGAGCACCAGACAAGTGCAGGCTGGGACCGGCCCGGGCTCGCACGGAACCGCCGTGCGAAAGAAGGCTCGCGCCTGGGTTCGGAAAACGCACCCGTCCCCCCCACCGACAGCCCCAGAGCCCCGGGAAGACCCGCGGGGGCCGGCCTGGTGGGGGTCACAGGTCTCCGCGGTCTCCCCGCTAATTACTTAAAATGCGCAAGTCACAGGGGAAGGGGCGCCTGGGGAACAGCACTCGGTCCACGGCGGCCCGCCCCCGGGCCCGCCCCGAACACGGAGGGCACAGGACGCGCCCTGCCACCGCCAGCGGCCAGGCCCGGAGGCCGACAGCCCACGGCGCGAGCGGCACAGGCGAGCCGCGGGCTCCCCACCACCTCCCTCCCCGGCGCCGGGCCGCGGACCTGGGCGCTGACCACGCCGGCCGGCTTCCCCCACGTCGGCCTCACACCTGTGCTGTCCCCAAACCCACGGCCCGCAAGCCTCCCCGCGGGTGTTAAGTAATTAGCGGGGAGACCGCGGAGACCTGACCCCCACCAGGCCGGCCTCCGCGGGTCTCCGCTGGGGCTCTGGCCTGGGGGAAGCGGAGGGGCTCGGCCCGGGGCAGGAGGGCTGGAAGGCGGCGGGGCGGCGGGAGGAAAAGGGCGCCGAAGACAGGGGCCCACGGAGGCCGGAGACCGCCGGCGGCGAGGAGCGGGCCCGGGCCGGGCCGCGGGAACCCGAGGGGCCTCCAGCCTCAGCGGCCCCCCTGCGGCCGCGGGCCCCGCCCGGAACCGGCCCCCAGGCGCTGTCCCGCAGCGAGACCCAGGCCGCCCTCGGGGTCCGCCCGCCCGCCCGCCGCCGTGCACCCCCGGCGCCGAGGTCACCCCTGGGGTCACCCGGCCCCTGACCCTGGCCGCCGAGCCCCCCGCGGAGGGCGGTCACGTCAGCGGGAGCCGATGACCTTCGCCGACGCCGACACGGGGACGATTCCAGGGGCCGTCGCCGGGCGGCCTCCCCGCCTCCTCCCGGCCGGCCGAGTCTCACCGCCCGCTGCAGCCGCCTCGTCGACACCGCTCGGAACATGGTCTCGGCTCGCGGCGCCTCAGGTAGCCTCGGTCTCCGGCAGCCGAGCGCCCCAGGTCGCGCCTCCTCAGCTCGTCGCGGCAACGCTCGCGAGACGCGCGAACGAGAGCGGACGCCCCGGCCGAGGAGCGAGAGCTCGCGGTTTCTGCCCCAACATTGGGCGGTCTCGCAGCCAATGGGGACGGCGTAAGGTTAGGGGCGGGGCTCAGGAGTGGGGCGCGCGGGAGGCTGTTCTCCACAACGCCCCGCCCCGCCTCTGCGCTGATGACGTCACTCTCCGGACGCCCAGCCCCCTGCGTTCCCCAGCGCTACACCTGTAATGCACTGAACACGTTTTCCAGGTCCCCGGGATGCTCTACGAGAATGCAGAAGGCGTTGCCCTTTGGGTGGCGAACGCACAATACAATGTACGGATGATGTGAGACAGAATTGTACACTTGAGCTTTGGCCCTGTGGCTCCGTGGCCCCGGAGGGTCGTGGGTTCGATTCCCGGTTAAGGGCACTGTCCCTGGATGACAGGTTCCATCCGCCTGGTCGGGCGCCTGCAGGAGGCACCAAAAGATATGTGTCTGTCCCACATCGATGTTTCTCTCTCTCTCCTCCCCTCACTCTCTCCTTTCCACTCTCTACAAATCAATGGGAAAAAATTAAATAAAAATAATATTAAAAAGAACTGTACTCTCGAAACCTATATAATCTTCTAATCAACATAACCCCAATAAGTTTAATTAAAATTAAAAGATGTTGCCCTCACCAGACTCTGGACAAAACATACAAGCAGACATATTGCTGCTATGAGAGGAGGGATTCACCGAATGAAAGATATTTGAGCTGTGTTCCAGGGCAAGGAAACTTGTGGACACAAACATGGAAGGATCATGTCACGAATGTGCAAGGACAAGGGGCAGGACTCTGTGCTGCTGGTAGAAGGCAGAATGGCTGGAGACAGGACTGGAGATGCAGCTGGAAGATCAGACTGGAAAAGACCATGAACCAGGTGTGATTTGGGGCCCCACCCTAGACCCCTTCTGTCACCACTCTGCTATCCCTGGGCAGTCCCACCAAATCCTGCCGGCCAAGCCAAATCTCTGCTGACCTTTGGGTCCACAAAACCACCTTCTCCCAGCATCTCCTCAGGATGTCCCTAAACACCTCAAACCCACATGTCCACAGCATAAATCCTCTCATTACTTTTCTTTTTAAAAAGTACATCATTTGAAAAAGTCAGCAATTTAACTGATAATATTTACAAAGGTCTTGTAATACTACATCTCACACACCAACCTTGACCCACCCCTGTTTTAGGACTCCATGGATGAGAACTGCTGCTTCAAACAGTGCTTTAACATGCTTAACAGTCCTTTGATTCTCTCTGTTAGCTATCTATATGGTTCAAATTCCAGAACTGCCCCAGAATTTCTGGGTAAGTGTTTTGGGGGCAGCAATCTGGTTAGACGGGAGGCCCAGGGGTTTGTCTTCAGGCTGCATTTGCATAGCAAACCCACTTTTTCCACTTAAATTTGGAAGCTGATGGAGATTGAACCCCAGGGTACTGCTTCTGGGTGCTCTCCACCTCTGCTTCAACATGGGCTGTGTAGAAATGAACCTATATTCTTAAAACCTGCTTTATACTTTCAAGGCTCGTCTGTGTTCTCAAGAAGAAATTATTTTGCAACAATAGTCTGCCTTTCTAAATAGAGAACATGAAAATGAACCAACCTTCTTAGTAATGTCTGCCAACAGCTTTCTTTCTTTCTTTCTTTTTTATCCTCACCCAAGGACATTTTTTTTGGGGGGGGGGGGCATTTATCTTCAGATAGAGCAGGAGGGAGAGAAAGAGGTAACGAGAGAGAGAAACATCAGTGTGAGAGGAACACATCGAGTGGTTGCCACCCACACGACCCCAACCGGGGCTGGGAACAAATTGCAACCGAGGTATGTGCCCTTAGCAGGAACCAAACCCGGAACTCTCTGGTCCATGGGCCGATGCTCTATCTGCTGAACCATACCGGCCAGGGCCAGATTTCTTTCTTCATGCTAAAAATACCTACAGGTGATTTTAATAGTGCCAATTTCAGATTCCCCTTTCAACTTATCTGTTCCTTCCCAAGTGTTGTCATTTCTCTGTTTGAAAATCATGACCGTAAAACCTCGAACATTTATGGGTTATGCAAACAGCTTCCTCTGGTATATTTTTAATAATCTCTGCACTTATTATTACCAGATGTTGAAATCCCCAATGATAACAGAGTGACAAACTTCAACGGTAAGATTATTTGAGCAGGAGAAATGTAGCGTTTTTATTCTGAGATAACAAGTGTCTGGCCTGGGTTTGTTTCAAGTTTTTTCTACTTTTAGCTAAGACATCATAGAGAAACTCCTTAATTTCACTGATTCACTGTGCCTTCGTTGGTCAGCACACTGGTAATGCCTTCCTTATAGCCACCTGGGGACAAATATGAGAGATTATATGTTGTATTAGTTATCTCTTGCTGTGTAAGAAATTACCTCCAAAATGTAGCAGCTTGAAACAACATTTATTATCTTTCACAGTTTCTCAGAGTTAGAAATCATGGTGTGGCTTCGGTGGGTGGTTCTGGCTCAGAGTCTCTCACAAGTTGCCAACTACTGGCAGAGCTGCAGTCTCTGGTGACTTCAGGGGGACTGAGGATTCGCTTCCAAGCTTACTCATGTGGCTGTTGGCAGGAGACTTCAGTTCCTTGCCACAGGGACCTAATCATATGGCTTCTCCCAAAGACTGGATCAGAGAGACCGACACAGAGACATAAGCTGCAGCCTTTTACATCCTTCAACTCAGTGGTGACAAACCATCATGACTGCTACACTCTACTGGTCACACTAACCACTGCTGATACAATGTGGGAGTGGACCACACAGGGTGGAAATAACCAAAGGCAGGGAAAATTCAAAGGCATCTTGGAGGCTGATTGCCACCTATGTATAAAGCACCCAGCAGGGATATCTGGATACCACTAATTCCACAGCCATTTATTGAGCACTTACTAGGTGCAGGCCCTCTTCTAGGCCCAGGAATTATAAAATAGACACAGTCCTTTCCCTCAAGAGCTTCCATTCTAGAAGCCCATAGTAGGTGCTCAAAAATTTGTTTTCCATAGGCAGTAAAATCTGACATTTCTCTTAGCAATATTTTCTTCTGACATAAAAACAAAAGACAATCTACTGAATGGAAGATATTTGCCAACAATACATCCAATAAGGAGTTAATATCCAAAATGTATAAAGAGCTCATACAACTCAACAACAAACAGCAAACCTCTCCAAAGAGGACATACAGAAGGCAAAAAAACACAGGAAAAGATGCTCAGTGTCACTAATCATCAGAGAGATGCAAATTCAGAATGGCTATCATCAATAAATTAATGAACAATAGTGTCCGTGAGGGTGTGGAGAAAAGGAAACCCTCCTGCAATGTTGGTGGGAATGCAGACTGGTGCAGCCACTATGGAGGCTTCTCAAAAATTTCATAATGGAACTATGTTATGACCCAGCAATTCCACTTCTGGGTATATATCCAAAGAAATCCAAAACACTAATTTGAAAGAGTATATGCACCTCTGTATTCACTGCAGCATTATTTACAATAGCCAAGATATAGAAACAACACGAGTGCCCATCAATAGACAAGTAAATACAAAAGTGGTGGTACATACATACAATGCAATATTACTAGGCCATAAATAATAAATCTTACCATTTGTGACAACATGGATGAACCTACAGATTAGTACGCTAAGTGAAAGGGAAAGACAAATAACATATGATTTTATTATATATGGAATCTGAAGATAAAAAACAAACAACAAACAAACACAATGGAAACAGACTCATAAATACAGAGAACAGACATATGGTTTCCAGAGGGGAGATGCGTTGGGGGGCTGGGTGAAAAAGGTGAAGAGATTAAGAAGTACTGCCCAGCTGGTGAGGCTCAGTGGATTGAACATCATCCCATGGACTGCAAGGTCCTAGTTTGATTCCCGGTCAGGGCACATGCCTGGGTTATGGGCTCAATGTTTCTCTCTCACATCAATGTTTCTCTCTCTCTCTAAAGAATCAATAAAAACATATTTTTAATAAAGAAGTACTAATTGGTAGTTACAAAACAGTCCTGGGATATAAATACAGAAGGAATATAGTCAATAGTATTGTAATAACTACGTATGGTGCCTGGTGAGTGCTGAGAATCCTGGCAGGAGGGGGGCACTTTATAAAGTATATGATGGTCTAACCATTACACTGTACACCTGAAACTAATACACAATAATGTTGAATGCAGACTGTAATTGAAAAATAAAATTTAAAGGAATAAACAACATTTCACTGTTTAAAAAAACTGGGCCATACCTGTGGTTAGAGCACCGGCCCACCTTCCAAAGATTCACAGGTTCGACTCACAGTCAAGGGCATGGACCTGGGTTGCAGGTTTGATCCTTGGCCCCAGACTGGGTGTGTGGGGGAGACAATCAATCTATGTGTCTCTCATCAATGTTCCTCTCTCTCTCTCTCTCTACCCCTCCCTCCCTTCCATTCTCTCTAAAAATCGATAGAAAAACATGTCCTCCAGTGAGGATTAACAACAACAACAACAACAAATATATATATGCTTTCTCCCTATGAGAAAGAAACAAACAAATTTTTAAAACTTCATAAAAGGAGACCCTGTTAATCAGAGGTACAGACACAATTCAAGGAATTGCCACTTGAGAAAGTAGGGAAATCCTCCCAAAATGTGACAATTACAAATTGGAGCATTCTTTGCAATTTTCAGTTTAGAAGCTGAGAATTTACATTAAGGATCTACCTAAAGTAACTGTCAGAAAAGAGTAGTAAGCAAATTGATGTTACCACAGTCATGCAAAGGTAATTATTTCCAAAATCATTCTTTCAGACCTTGGCGGTATCCACAGGTTTACTACAAATCAGACTCTGAAGCCTTGGGCTTCTCATTTCTTTGTGAAAGCGACTAAGGTGGGACCTCTATTTGCCGATGACTCATCCACTGTCAAATTTGTTGATGGTTAATATAATG